CATTTCCTACCCCCATTTCCTACCTAACTTTTCTCCATAGACCTAGCAAACTAACTTCTGAACGTTTTATTGTCTCTCCTTCTCCCTCCTGAATGTAAACAGCACAAGGGCAGGAATTTTTGTGGATTTTGTTTACTGCTTATATGCTCATTGCTTGGACCAGTTTCTGGCATGAAGGCACTCAATATTTGTTAAAAGATTTAATTTGGTACCATGATTTATGAGTAACTTTTGTTGGGTTTAATTCTTTAAAGATGAAAAATGGTTGTTGATAATAAAAAAGTTAAAACAGATGACAGAAAACAGTGGGGAGGGGGCTTTTTTTTTTTTTCCCCATCGAAGCCCCTAGAAAGACAAAGATGAGGTAAAGTCAATCTGATGAGGAAAGCAAGCAAAAATGTATTTAAGAGGGAGCTGCAGCATGTACTTTTTCAAGATGAGAACACCACCATTCTACAAAGACTATAAAACCCAGGTACTAGACAGTAATGTTCAGAAAAAGTTTTGGGTTATCTGTATCTACATGGCTCTTGACATCTCAATCATACAAGTGACTCAACTCTCTGGACCCACTGGAACCCTGGATCCTGAAGGAGCCAAAAACTCCAAGTCAGAATCACTGAACGAGGACCAGACACCAGAAGAAAGGAGAAGTGGACAGGGAAAGCTTTTCAATATGGGATGTTTCTGCAGCAAGACAAAATCAATTTATAAGCTGGAAGGTCACTGGAACTTTGGCAGAGGGAAAGCCTAAAATGCCCCTAGTGAGGAGAAGGTAAATGGAAAATAAACCATAGCTTCTGTTCTACCATTCAAGTTTCCAGGATTTACCACAATGTTAGGAAGTGTTACACATACATCTCAGTTCACATCATTCCCTGCAAATTCCATTAATCTTGAAGTTCTCACTTATACTCACCAAAATGTATTTCGTGCTCACTAAAAAATAAAATTACCAAATGCTACTTATGCTGTGAAATTTATTAACCTGACCTACTTAATTCTTATATTTAAGCACTCAATCTTAAGTGTGAAGGAGGAGCAGTAGGATGATGAAAAGTGTCCAAATACCTACACCAACGTGTTTAAGCAAAAAGAAAATGATAATGCTATAGTTATCAGTGTCCTCCTAACTGTCGGAGTAAACCCTGCTGGGGTTTATCTCCATGGACTCTATAGTTTGACATGGCCCACCATTCTTGACCATTCTTTCCCCCTGTCTGCCTCATACCAGCCAAGTGCTCTTCACACTGAAAAGTACAAGTTATTTAAGCACCTGGATTCAAAAACTTGGAAGTGATAATTCAAAGCAGGAGCTTCTTTTGCAGATATAGACTTCTTTTTTTCTTCCTGTAGGCTATGTTTTCTCCCCCCTCCCCCCCCCCCGCCCCATCCAAATTAAGAGGACTAAAAAGACAGATTCTTTAGGGGGAGATGGGATTGTGGATCAGTTCTTCTATTTTCCAGACCTCTTATATGGATTGTTTTGATAAGATTAAAAATTAAGAGGCAAAAATGTGAATTTTTTTTCCCAATCACTAGGTAAAAAGACCCCCCTCCCCCCACAAAAAAGCATTAAGCTAGTTTGAAATTTCTCACTGACTAGTTGGAATAATGGTAACATTTACTGAGCACTCATACTAAGCAGTAGTCACTGTGCTAAGCACTTCATATCACATAGGACAACACTATTAGATACATTTTATAGATGAGAAACAGAAGCTCAGAGAATTAAAATCAGTTGCTCAAGGTCATACAGCTATTTAGTGTTAGAGTTAGGAGCAGGAGGTTTAACTTGAAAGCCTGTATCTTATCTACTATGGTTACAGTGAAAATAAGAAATTTTTATTAACCACATATACTTTTTCTAGAATGAATATGCATTAGTGAAGAAAATAATCTAGAAGACATAAGACAGTTGCTTAAATGAGACAAGTTAAATGTCTACCGTCTGATAATAGATCCCTAAATGTCTCCCATAACCACTGCTGAATAGCTTCACAAGTAACTAAATCATTCAGCATCCTGATAGAGCTGTGAAATGACTTTTTAAGTGAATCTCTCAAAATAATACTATACATTTGCAAATGAAATATGCTGCCCTCTTAGAGTTGTATAAATACCTTATTTCTTGATGCATTCACTGCCCTATTTTTGCTCAGTTTCCTCCCCTCCTCCCCCACTTCCTCTCTGCCTTAAGATCCTTTAAGACCAGTTCAGTTCCTCCTTCTCAAAGAATACCTACAAATATGCAGTCTACCCACCAGGACTCTAATAATCAGTGACTGTCCTTTGTCATCAGTTGCTGTGCTCTGTTGTTACAGAAGGGTACAAAGTAAAAAATGAACTCAAGAGAAAAATAGCATTTCTGATGCACCTTCATCTTTAGATCTATCCATTTACAGAGTTAATTCTAAACATTCTTATTTCTCTACTTCACACTTGGAATCCTGCCTTTAACAATTAGTACACCAAAAAAAGTCTGCCTTTTCTTAGTCTTTCTTCAAAAATAGTTACTCCACAAAAAATTTTTCCATAAATAAGGTACTGGAAAGATCAGAATCAAAAAAAGGAAAAAAAGAGAAGCAAATGTACTGATAGAATAAATATACCACAATTTAAGTAATATAAGTTTTAGTGATATAATTTATCGATATAATTAGTTTATTCTGAGTCACTTCTGGAACTTGTTCATAAAGTGCTTTACAAGTAAATATAGTATAAAAAATGCTAGCTAGTTATCAGTGGACTAACATGTATTTTCATTCATTTACTTATACAACAAATATTTATTGAATGCCCAAATAACTTTTTTTTTCCCCCCTGAACCAAGAGGAGTGATAAAGGCACAGGTGCTAAAGTTAGAAGGATCTTGGTTTGAAACCTGGCTCTTGTACTTACCAGCTCAGAGACTGAGAGCAGTCAATTAACCTCCAGGTTAGCATTTCACTCATCTATTTCATAGGAGAAAAAGTACTACTCTTATGGTCTTTGTGAGATTTAACTGATTATGCAAAACAGCATATGGCCTAGCATGTACTAAGTGCTCAATAAATTATAACCACAGTAAATATATTTTAATATTGAAGAAAGTAGTTGAAGGAGATGGCCAATAAATGTTTTTTGTCTTACTAGAAATATGGAAATTTGTGAAACTCTGTATTAAAGATACATTAAAAATAAAAATCTTAAGGTTATGGGAAAAAAATCCACTTAAAAAAAAAGAGATGTGTTAAGTATGTAGGGTGAAATGACTAAAAAATAAAGGAAGAAAAAGAGATGGATAAAGAAAATCCTGACAGCTCCTAAGTGTGGGTGATGGGTGTTGAGAGGTTCCTTATACTGTTCTTTTTTTTTTTTTTTTTGCAAAAATACAAATTTTTTATAACTATAATCCTAATCCCAGAACATGCCTAACACATTTCCCCATATTCAGGAAAGACTGGGATTTTAGCCTTGAGATCGGCTGAGAACTGACACAGTACTTTCCTGCTCAATAATTCAGTATAGGTCAAGTTTTTTCAGACCATTCTACCTTTCATTATAAGGGTGAGCAGAGGGAATAAATGCATTAGAGCATTAAAAAATACAAGCTTTTCTGCTGCTCATTAATATTACATTAAAATAGCAGCAATGCATATTTTTCCACGTCCTTGAAAAATATGAAATTGTTTTTAAATTAAGCTTTTAAAAACAACTTCCACCTTCTCTACTTCTGAATTTACAGGAGATATATGTCAATCATATCTAAATAAAGCTGGGGGGTGGGAGAGAGAAATTACTAGAGAATGTCAGGCACAGCAAGGTATGCACATCAGAGTTGCTACTACCTTTAAAATTTGAGGGACATTATTATTAATTTATGTAAAGGTTTTACATAATGTTTCCAGACTGCGTTTAGGTTTTATCACTTACAATATAGCAAACAAGTACAGGGAAAGAGGCAATTAATTTTCTTAAGAGGCTTAAGAAGCTTAACCTACAGTCTATGCCACCTAAATTAAGCTCACTAAAACAACACAAAATTTCAAGTCACACTTTGCCTATCTCTGGGTAAGCAAGTAAACTCTAGTAAAAACAAACTAGAGCATTTAATAAAGCGATCATTTTGTGTTAACCTTAATTCCTAAAATAAACTGGTTGGCTCTATCAAACATATTCTTAATTCACAATTAATTCAAGTCTCAAATGAAGCATACTTGCCATCGGCAATCATTCAACGACAAAGCACACGATTAATCACCCAAATACAGCATCTTTTTACAGACTGCAAAGCCATCTGCCGTTTCAGCCTCTGTTTACCCATTCACTAACGCACATGAGGGCGTCTTTTAAAAAATAATAATAAGCAATAAACTTTACTCTGGCCTGCGAGATTACATCTCTCCGTGCTTCCTGTACACCCTGTAAATCAACGACGCTAAAGTCAAACGGTAGCATTTCCCAACTTTGGTTTAATGCGAGCGGTGGACGCCGAGCATCCGCCCACTGGCCGCTCGTGACTCGGGGTACTTTGACGCACCGGGATGCGGCTCACCTGACATTCTGCACCATCCATTACCAAAGCAAGCCAACTAGGCGGAAAAAAAAGGGGGTCCCCGAGCAAGCGTGCGGGTGCCCCTAAGGGCCCTCTTCTGCCGGCACAGCGAAAACGAGGGGCCACGCCGCCCCCGGCCCTCAGCGGCGTCCGCACCTGCCAGGAGAGGCCGGGGGCTGGGGGCTGGGGGCCGGGGCTCGGCCGCACGGGAAGGGGCGGCTCGGCCCCGGCCCCTCGGCGTCCGCCCCGGGCCCGCCGCGGGGGCTGGAACCGGGGCCGGAGGTTTCCGCCCGGCGCCGCCAAGCCCGCCAGGGGCCTAGCTCCGGCTCCCGAGGGCTCGCCCGCGGCGGCCAGGGCGCGCAGCCGCCTCCCGCCCGGCCCGCCGAGCCTCCCCGCGGCGAGCGCGGCGGCGCCCGCACCTGCCCCGCGCCGGAGCGCAGCCCCCGCCGGCCGCTTCACCCACCTGGCGCCCCCGCCGCGCTCCCCGCACGTCACAGCGCGACCCCGCGCTCCTCGGCACCGGCAGCGCGGCCGCGGGCGGACGCCGAGGGACCCTGCTCGGCCGCCGCCGCCGCCGCTCGGTTCGTCCCCGGCCGCCGACAGCGAACCTGTTGCGCAGCCTGTCACGGCAGCTCGGGCTCCGCGGCACCGCCTCAGCCCCACAACAACATGGCGGCCGCGGCCTCCGCAGGAAGCCGGGGGGCGGGGAGGTAGGCGACGGGCCGAGCAGCTGACGGCCCGCCCGCCCGCGGCCGGCGCGGACTCCCCCACCCTCGGGAACCCGAGGTAAGCCCGGGCGCGGCTCCTCACCCCCAGAATCCCGCGGCACCGGACCCCGCGGGCCTAGTGCCAGTGCTCCGCTCTCCCCTCGGGGAGGCCCTGAAGTCCCGGTCCCGGCAGCCCTTTCCTGGAGCAGCGACGGCCCACCTGGCTCCTCCTCCCCGAGGTGACATGTTGAGGTTGGGTGGTGCGTTTCCTGCCACTGCAGAAGCCCCAAAGTTTCGGGGAGGGCCTAGCCGTGTCGGACACATGCCTGTTGCACCCCACATGGGGCTCTCTCCGGAGCCTTCTCTCTCTCTCTCTCAGGGTAATTCGCTGAGCTGAGAGCTGGGATTCTCCGGGAAAGGGGATCTGAGGCAGGAGAAGGAGGTCGTTCTCACCCTTGTTTATGGGTCTGGTACAGTCCCCAGAAAGACTAACCATACCTAAGGGTCATCCACTCAGTATTCCTCACTCTCCTCTCTACCACATAAAAAAGGCCAACAAGGTGGGGACCTCCCCACCCGCCTCCACTTGGGAGAGCAACTACTCCATAAACTCATGAGCAGTAAGACGTTGATCTCTCCCCAAGTTCCGCCACCTGGTCTGCAGAAGCTGAACATTCTTCCCCACCCTATAGCCACCTGGCAAGATCAGAGTATCTCTTTTTTCTCAACACTTCCTGCTCCTGGTCTCCGCACAGAACACCGGACTTCAACTCAAGTTACCACCTGATACCCTTTGCCCTTGACACAGCACTCGTTCTAGAGAAAGGATTTCTGTTACTTGGGGTTGGAGGCAGAGTCATGGTTCCTTCTGAGTATAACAAAATGGGGTTACAAGACCCAATATTTCTGTTGGCTTTTAGAGGCAGAGTGGGGGCTAGTCCCATGAACAAAACTCATAGCCCCCTGACTTGTGTTGGTAAAGGAGAAATCTGTGCAGATCAAATGATCCCATGGCTTCGTTACTTACCTTAGGGCAGGAGAAGTTAGCAAGGCTGGCTCCAGAGGGATGGGTCCAAAGCTTAGGCCTATCTGAACTGGCCAGCCAACTCATGTGAGGAACTTAGCAAATATCAATGATGATAAACAAGCTTTTCCCGCTCTCACACTCAGTGTTTTTCCTAACTCTTCGATTAGGACCTGACCAAGACCTGACAGACAGGTTCTGTGCTTCAGTGACACAGTGAGGCCAGACTCCTTTGTGTTAGTCTAGGAAGTCCCTTATCTACCGGGGTTAATCTAACCCTTGTCTCCTGGGGACCAATCAATCTGCAAACAAACCACCCAACCTAAGAACAGCACTCTTGACCGCATGGTCTCATTCCCATGGCCGACATCACCAATTAATTGTGGTACTTCCTTTCAAAGCCCATATTCAAGCCCCTTTCTAAGCTTCTGAATCCTTCTCAGCATAATGCTCCAGAGACTTGGTCTAGGGCAAAACCTGTTTTTTTTATTCCTGACAGGCAAATAGCTAGTCTCCATTTCCCTCTCACCATTTGGTTAATGGCATTTGTGTTTCTGGGTTCTGGACCTGGTAAAATTCACCCTGAGTCCCCTTTCTTTCTGAAGGAGGTGCCAAAAACAAGGCAGGACAAAAATTAAGTTTGTTAAAAGGAGTATTTATAAACAAAAAGAGGAAAAAAAAACATTTTAAACATCTCCCTAAAATAAACCAAAAATTTAGCAACCTTTCATGGAAATTGGCATCCTGTATACAACTGGGAGCCTATAGTATCCCAGCTGCTAAAACATTATATCTCAGGGTTCCATAAGGAACTTTGAGGCCAGTTTGTCCACCCTATCCTACTCACTCAGTATTTATGATTTACATAGATGATAAAAACAAACACCATCCTACTTCTTTGATGTCTTCTTCTATTCACAGAGCATACCTTGGAACTGTATCTGTAATTTCTCTCCTTGGTATTTCCCAAATCCCACTACCTCTTATTTACCTCCAACACCAACTGGTGATCAGATACTTGAAGGAACTAAGTCCTACCTAAGACATAGAGACTTTCCTGTCAAATCTAAAGAAGATTATGAGTTATTGTAGGATCAGAAGGCATACAGGTCAGGGAAGGGACTAGGTAGATTACATTTTTCTTCCCCAGGTTCTGCCACAATTTAGGATAGATTCTGAGGCCTATTCCTAGTAACCTAACTTTTCCCAGGGGAGCATTTAATCTCAATCTGTTTTCCTTACCTGCACTGATTCTCCCCACCCCAACCATATATATGTTATGTTATATCAATTTCTCTTTCTGTTAGATTTCAAGGATTCCATCCTTAACCCCATTCCTACCCAGTCTACCCTCAAAACAAACACACAGTTGTGGGAAGAGGCTGGAATAGAGAAAAGATGCAATTCCAGACTCTAAGCATCCCATCAGGTAAATATATTATCTATCCTATAGAAAAGGAAGGCTGTGAGAAACTGGAGCTCATATGCAATGCCTCTACTAATAAATTTCCAAGACAATGTGATAAACAAATAATTTAAAACTTCTTTTATTGTTTCTTGTCAGGCAGGTGTGTTGGCTACAAGTCCTCTTACTTTTATCTGAAAATGTTATTTTATTTTCATACTTGAATTACATATCCCCTGCATATAGAATTCTGGATTGATAGAGTTTTTTTCTTTTGGCATTTTAAAGATGTTTTCCCATTGTCTTCTGGCCTTCATGGTTTCCACTGAAAAAGTCAGCTGTTGACCAGATCATTTTCTCCTCTATGTAATATGTCATTTTCTCTTGCTGCTTTCAAGATTTGCTTTTTATCCTTGGCTTTCAATAATTTGACTCTGATGTGCACCAGTGTGTCTTTTTTGGTGTTTATTCTGTGTGGCATGTATTTACAATCTTGTATCTGCAAATTTCTGTCTTTCATCAAATTAAGAAAAATCTTAGATATTATTTCTTCAAATACATTTTTCTGCCCCATTCTCTCTCTTATCTCCTTCTGGCATTCCAGTTACACGCATATTTTATTGTTTGGTATTATCTGGTGTTCATATAGAGAAAGCAGTGTTGAACCACCATTGAACGCCAGAAAAACCTGGCTCTACCCTTCTGATCCTCAAGGCATCTGAAGATAGGAATAGTGAGCAGTGGGACTCTAAAGCTGTTCTCCTTTTACCTTCTATATTTGGTAGGAGTTAATATGCCTCTATTGTTAGCAACTGTGCTTTTTAGCCAGGGAGTCTCTTTTATTCTGTAGGGAAAAAAAAAAAAAAACCCTCACAATATCTCTATACCACTCATAAACACACACACACACACACACACACACAGAGTCAGAATTATTCTATTCCTTCTGAGAAATAGATGGAAAGTGAGGTTGGTCCTGTTTTAGTTTCTTTTTTTCTTTCAAAACTCACACAGAAGAATAGATGTGCTGACAGTCATTCTTTGTGCAGAAAGAACTAAAGTTAAAGTCAATCTGGGAAACCAAGCTGAGACTGCCCTAGTATTTGACCATAAAAGCAAATGAAAAGCAGGTCAGGGATAGGGGAAGTCAGGGTCCAGGAAAAGGCCTAGGGCTTCATCTGGTATGTATTTGCTGATTCATTAATTTGATATTTGTTTTCATTCAGCAAATAGTTATTAACAACCTATTACGTTTTAGCTACTGGAAACAAGGAGTTAGCGAGGAATTAGCACTAGTGGAAGCAGCTGAGACCCAGTTCAGAGACGTGGTTAATGGGCCTAATTAGTTCCTTCGCCCTGTCACCAGCTTCGTAACCTCCTGCATCCTATTCTGGAGCCCTGGCACAGAAAAGAAATGAAAAAGCAGCGATTTAAGGGGAAAGAGGAGGGAAGGATAATTCCTGAGCACACCGGAAGGAGTATTCTCATTATTGGACCACTTGGGTCATGCAAAACTTGAGGCTCTGGCTTAAAGCCTGATGGTACTAGAAGAGGTAGTACCAGGCATATTAGAGGGGAAGTTAGCCCAGACTTGGGACTGGGCTAGCACAGCAAGGTGGAGCCAAGGGCCAGACTGGGGCAAGGCCCTGCAGCTCTGGACAGGACGTGCCCATTCATGACTGAAGCACCAGGGCTTCCAGGCTGGCAGGTGTAGCTCAGCGAAAGGGAATCCAGCCCGTATTCAGGAGTCAGACGTCCTTCCTGTCTGGCGTATTTGCCCACCTGTCCCTTCAGTTCGTTGCTGCCATCTCCAGCACAAACTTGGAGTGATTCCAGTTCCCTTTTTGTGATAACCTAACTAATATTTATGTGGCATTTTGCATTTGACAGAGCAATTTTGTTATTCCATTTATAATCCTCACAACAATCCTGGGAAGCAGGGTAAAGATCTGTTTGTGATCATCTAACCTTGGTCGCTATGAAAGGAAAGAGGTAAAATCAGGCCTCAGTCTTGTGTGGGTAGTTTTCCCATGCCTGGTTGTTGCGGTTTTCTTTCCCCCCTTTAAATAGAGAAACACAGGCTATGCTATTCTGGGTTCAGATAGCAGCAATGTTTTAGTTTAAAATACACAATGGATCAGATCATTTTGTACTGCTTGGCCCCATCTAGCTGGACAAACATTTTTATTTCTAGAATTACCATTTTCTTCTTCCTAAGGAAGATAATATCCTAAGCCAATGAAATATAAGAAAGATAACTGGCCCCAACCCCCCGTCCCAGGAGAGAGAGATGGTGCTGCTGTTTGCTGTGGTGCCAGAGCACCAGAGGGGGGAAGACCCCAGGCGAATGGGAGGCCACATTTTGCTTGTTTAGATGATATGCTTAAAACTTGCCCTGTCTTGACTTCCCACAAGAGCAAGATGAACATCTAAAGATTAGAGCAATGAAATCACTGCCCAAAATGGGGTCAGCAACGTCAGCTTGGTCACCATCCTCATCCACCCTAGGGAAGAATGACCAGACCAGGAGAATTCTCTGCCTTGGGACTCAGATGGAAATTAGGGTTGGGTGCTTGGTGCTATTTGCCATTTCTCTCTCTCTTTCTTTCTTTTCCTTTCTTTCTTTCTTCTTTCTTTTCCTTTTG